ATTCCTCTTCTCAGAGGGACACGGCCTGGGCAACACACAAGGGCCAGTGTATTGCTCATGCTTTTTGTATTGCTAGCAGTCAAAATGCAGGAAGACTCCTCTGCATGGCCAATGATGAGGTGGCCACTTTGTTGGACTCTGGATGCAGTTACAGTCCAAAGCAGTCCTGGACCAGGGTGGGCGGGTGAAGTCTCATTCCCTGAACTGTGCATTGCCCAAGATGTGGAGAAGGAAAGAAAAGAGCAAGAAAATAATATGCAGGGCAAAGCTGCACATGAAGGAAATGACTTATCTAGCGTCTGGAGGTCTTGGGGCAGAACGGTGACCCTCTGGTAACTGGGGCGAAAGAATCCTGTCCTTTGATGTGGCATAAACACCAAACCCACAGGAACTGGTGTCTCCTGTGATCCTCAGTTTTAGGGGGAAACAACCCAGTGGGGTGGGGAGGCAGGGTGTCAATGAAGCAGGGATTCACAGATTGTTTGGGGCTGGAAAGGACCTTGTAGATCATCGGGTCCAGCCCCCTGCACTAGGGAGGACAAGTAGTGGGGGACAGCATGCCCGCAGGTCCTGAATGGGAAGTTAGAACTGGGCGTGTTGCCCGCAGGCAGGGGGTTAGACGTGGCTGGAGGAGGGCCAAGGGAGATGGTCCTCACCGCTGCAGCTTGAGAGGAGGTTGCAGTTGGTGGGGTGTGAACCTGCACCTCTGGGTGCACCGTCGGCAGTGGGGATTTCCCAGGCGCTCCCCTGGGAGCAGCATCAGCGTTTTCTGCATTGACGGTTTGTCAGTCTTTGCCTGCCCCTGTATTCTCTTGTGTACTTTGGGTGTGTGACGACAGCCCCCTCACCTCCCTGTTTCCTCACTGACAATAGAAACCCAGGGGATACATAGCATGGATGAGGAAGTCATTCTTGAAAGCCCTGAATACACCTGGCGTCCCCACCCCGCAAACCCACTGCTGTTACCATGATTTCCAGCACCTGAATGACAGCTGGGCTGTCGGATGCTCTGGAGTGGGGCAAGCATTGCCCCAGGACTGCCACATGCCCTAGCACCTGGGCTTATGATCCCTTCTGCTTTGGGCTCTGCTGGTTCTTGCCAGGATACAACAATTCATCTCCCCTTTGCAAGGCAAATGCTGCCACTTTCGAACACCTGCCATCACAGTGCATGCTTCTGCCTTTGTCCTGAATTGCTCTCATGCATTAATCCTGCCTGGCGCTGACTGAACAGCCAGCTTAGAGGCTCTGCTGATATTGGGCTGGCATGGGCGCTGTGGCCCTTTGCTTTGACCTGACGGGACTGATGATGTGGGGGCTGCTACGTATCTGCCTGCCCCCAGTTAGGGCTAACATGGTGCTGCAAAGAGTGACTCCACCATGGACTGCTTCCTCCAGTTCAGATACCTCCCTCTCCCTGAGTCAGCATGGGCCTGCTGAAATTCAGCTCCCTGGTTAGGCCTTCTGAAAAGGCTCCTTAGACCACGGTGGGGAGGGAGTCTCCATCTGATGGTTAGATCAAGGAGCTAGCGCTGGTAGCCAGGACTCCTGGGCTCTGTTTCTAGCTCTTCCAATAACTGTGACCTTGGGCGAATCCCGTAACGTGTGCCACACTTCACGGAGCATCAAGTCTTCATTGGCTGTGCTGTTTTGACATCCAGAGATGAAAGACTATATTAAAAGTAAAGTGCTGGTGTTCTCCCGGCTTCTGTTTTCTTTCCGTGGAGACCCCCTTGGCGCTTGTCTGGGGTGCTCCCGTTCCTTACGGACTCAGCTGTTGCAGCTCGCGTGAATTCTCACTGCCCCGTGTGTCTCTGCAGTGTAGGTCAAGGGAGGCATTTGCAA